GAGTTTATCTTCCTACCCTTTGCCACCTGCTTTTTTATTCCCTTATATAGGGGGCTCTCTGGCTTACTCCTCAGTTGCTCTCCAGAATACAAAACCCTGCTCCTGACTCTTTGCCTAAAGAACACTCTAAAAAAAAAAAACGTTCCTCTGAGGGGTGGTTCTAACCTGCATGTTTTAAATGGTATATYGGGTATAGAACAGCCCTGTCATCTGATGTGAAGACTCACTGGTCATAAGGTAACGGGGCACAGTTAGCTTGTGCCAATCTGTTGAAATTTCTCCCAGTGGCAGAGTAAATGGAAAATAAGCAGGTAAATACGTGCCCCTCTCTGCATCTCTTCCCTCCTCTCTTCTGGACACCAGACTAATAACCAGTGTCAAGTCACAATATAATGTGTCTGGGGAAGCCCTGGGTTGCAAAAGGAGGGAATAAACTGTGAGCTGAAGGGACTGGGGTTCCGGGAAAACGGAAGTGCCTGTGTGTGGATTCTAGGGGTGTCAAAGAAGTCAATCTAAACACTTTACAGAGCCTCACACTGTCTACACATTGGTAGCATTACGTTCATAATAAGCAAAAAGTGCAGAGTATGTTGGAGATCTTACAGGTCATGCATGATCCAAAGGATGGTATAAACTCAATGAAGACCCAGAGTTTTATAAGATCTGGCGTCGAGACATCTCCTTAAAGCTTGTACATTACTGATCTGTGATCTTCTCAAAACTAAGAAGAAAGCACAGTTTGGAAGTCCTCTGTGGCTTCTGGTAGCAGCATATGTTATGTCTAGGAACGATTTTCTGACCCAGATATGATTTTCTGACTCTTTGTGAGGGACAAAAAAGAGTAAAGTTGAATAAGAAGAACTATTGCTATAGAATTATTACCCTCTGTCCAGGATCTAGCACCCTGAGAAAGGACCCCAGCACATGCTACTGTTCCTCTGTAGGATGTCTCTCAGAAATTCCAGAGGGAGGAAGGAGTCTTCCCTTGCTGCACTCTCCTCTGAACAGGAAGACCTCTGCTGCAGACATGGGTGCATCCCAGTTACCACCTTTCAAGATGGCGGCCTGCGTTGGAAACTCAGAAAAAGTGATGTCAACATGAAGCCAAGTGACAATACTAGAGCTGCCACAGCAGGTGGTAGAAGGGATTGATGGGCTCAGAGAAATGGCCACGATAGGGACAGCCCACACAGCCAACAGGAGTTACTACTGGACCTTGACAGAACACACTCGCTGACCCTTGTCCTCCTTCTTTCTCCAAGGGATCTGTGGCAATTTACTCAGTTGACACTACTCAGGGGAAAAGGGAATATCCGTGGACATATCAGGCACTGCTGGACACAGCGTCAGATTTGACGCTGATAACCAAAACCCGAATCATCTTCTTGCCCCTTCTATTAGAGGTGAGGCATGTGGCCACATGGAATTCTGGCTGGCATCCTTCTCACGGGGCCCGCTGGGGCTGCAGATCCATTTGCTAGACATTTGATAGGTCCTGAAGATATAACTGAGCCGTGTAKTTGGCAGAATCCTCACAGTAGGTCTCTGTCCGGTGATGAGAGGGTCGTCAACTTGGGAAGGCCAGGTAGAAACCGCTGCTGCCAGTCACCCCTATTTCAACCAAGATAGCAGATATCATAATCCTGGGGAGAACGGCAGATTAATGTCACCCCTAGAGACCTAAAGGATGCGTAGTAATGATTACCGCCGTGTTTCTATTTAATTCACTAACTGTTCCCTACAAAAATAAGATGACAGAGGAATACCCCMAATATCCCCCAATAGTATCATCAGTTAAAACTATACTAGATGTAGTGATTTTCCATGAACAAAAGATGGAGAGCAGCACATGAACGAGGGGTAGGCTAGCAGACTGCTCCTGAGGACGTCTGGGGAGAAGACGGATGGATGAATCAGTAGGGTGGGCATGGAGTGTGCAAGATCTCCTTCTCACCTGCCAACACCCACTGCAGAGTGTGCCCTGTGGCAACCATCAGGGTGGCCGCATGACCCTGTTAGCGTCACCCAGCTTCTAATATCGGCCACCCTGGGTTAGTGCCCTGCATGTGTGAAGGGGGTGGAACTGACACATGGGACTAATGGAACTGGCCTCTGCCTTAGTCCTAACCAGAGATGACACTGTCAAAACACCAAGCTGCTGCTAGAACACAGCACCCCCCTCAAGTAAATCACACAACCACTTGGTGTCAGGTTGAGTGCGTTTGACCCCTTTCCTTCACGGAAAGAGACTTTTCTTGACAAAATTGGGTTTATATTCTAGTGAAGGGCTTGACTTTGCTGCCTRTAACACCTTACCCTGCATGAAGGTGTGTTGACTTAATACCACACGACGTTCTCTCAGACAAAGGAAACCACTCCACAGTGATTGGTGGGGAGCAGAGGATCAGGATCCCGTCACCCAGGAGCTGTGGCTAAGTCAGAACAGCCAAAGAGATTTGAGAAGGCCCAGAAAGTGCCAGTTTGGAGATGGCTSTCAGCAGGAATGGACTCTTCCTCCAGACGGTGCTGCATGCCCTGAGTCAATGATGATTCCATGATGCTGGATCCCCATGAGGCAGAACACAAGTCTGGGGACCAAGAGGCAGAAATTGATGTAAATCTGCTGACCACCCTCTCTGGACCCACCAGTAGAATGATTTCGTTTCCTTTCCTAGCGTCTTTGGGTTCTGTGGATCTAGAGATCTTAGTCCTACAGGGAAAATGTCTCCACCRGGGGTCATGCCGAAGAAGAGTCCCAAGAATCTTAAGCTTTGCTGGCTGTCTGGCCAAGGTGAATTTTTCCTGCCAAGGGACCAGGAGGGAAGTAGAAGAGTCAGATAACCTGGAAGGGGGTGATTGGCCCTGACTGCCAAAGGGAGTAGAATAACTGCACACGATAGGAGCAGACAGGACCATGTTGGCTTCCACATGGAACTTCCTGCCTAATTTTGATGGTAAACAGACAATGCACTGGGTGAGCACAAGCTCAGAACTCGTGGGATGCCACATGAGGCAGGTCAGCTAGACTAGCAGACACAAGGAAAAAGGGTGAAGGAGTCAGGGTGGACAGTGGAGTAGGAGATGAAGAGTGTCAGTTGGGGCCTGGAGACAAGTTGTAGGGGCTGAAGCTGTGGTACCTCCCATTCCTCATCCTTTGGCTTCTTCCGTAGGAGGAGATGGTCCTAGATGGAGTGAACCTAATCCACACAGCAAGTGAGGCTGAGCAGAGCAGAGACACACTGCAGGGCCCCGTGGCACCCAGAGCACCTCAGCACTGAGTTACTTCTTCCCCAAGCTACTTATGGTCCTAGCTGTGGATGGCTTAGAGCTGAGCATCTCCTAAGGATGGTGTCTCTTAATCCAGGTGGTGTCTTCAACCCAGAGACCCCTCACACTCATGCTTCCTCCTATCCACCCAGAGAATCCATGCATGAAACAAGACCCGGCCATAGCCATGTTCAAAGACACAGGGGGAACATGCTCCCTCCTGCTTTCCATTTGTGATGGCCCGCAGAGGGTCACCACAGATCCACTCATGCTTTGGGGTTGGCCAAGGTCTTTGTAGAGATTACATCCCTGGTGAATTTTTCCCTCCACCCATTCCTACTTCCCTCACTTGTTTATGGTGGTCATTCTCAATCAATCAGCTGCTTGTGAACCTCTATTTCTGACCCCTTTTCCAGAGAACCCAGCTGAAGCCAAAAATCCCACCAGAAACATCCCCAATGAGAAGTCTCCCCCTCTCATGGGATAGAATTGGATCCTAYGCCCATTCTCCAACAAGTGACCCACAAGAAGAGTAAGTTTTATTCTTGGATCAAACCACTTGTCTGGGGATAGAACAGATGTTAGGAGGTGACCAAACTGACCAGGTGTTCATGGAAGTGTTGGGGAGTCAGTGACTAGCACATCAATCTCTCCAGCAAAACTTCCTGCACCATCATGGAACCGGGATGCACCACATCTGCCCTCCCTGGATCCTTTGTGGCATTGAGCAGCACCATGTGCTGCTTGCTACCGTGGAGACCGGCTCCCAGCACAGCTGAGCAGCTGCTCCCGTGGTCCAGAGGCTTGCGTCTGTAAGGGCTTTGTGCCTGCAAACCAAAACCTACGTGTGCACATTTCAATTCCTAAACGCACAGCCACCCTCCATCCAAATAAACCTCAAACATTTAATGCTTTCCTTTGAAAATGAAAAAGAAAAAAGAATTCAGGACTCCACCCTCCCTGCCCAGTGAGACCTTTAACATCACATGAGGATTTTCAGAGGACAAAGCTGGATGGATGTCTGTTGGTGTGTGACACAGCAAGTCCCACTGTGTGTGACCACCCTGGGACTCTCATGTAGAGGATGTCACGGGAGTTTTAGAAGGTGAGACCGTGCAGCCAAATGTGTGCTGTCGTGCTGGCTGACAGGATAAATGGGTTTCTTTGCTCAGGGTCCTCTGAGAGCATCTGATTTCACGTCTCAAAAATGCCTGCGGGAGACACTGCCTGCGTGACCTCAGGGAACCTCTGGTAGTGAACGCTGTGCTTCCCTCTTATTTGCAAGTGGATGCTGTGAGCTGTTCAGATGATGCAGCAGAACCCAGCCGGCCAATGTGCATGTCCTGTGATTAGAAGATTCTAGTGTTATATAAACATGCACCAAGTGCTTCCTGCCACAGAACAAGTTTTCTGCATGAGGGGTTTGTTTCTCTTTCCAAGCAGGAATCAGAAATAAAAGGTTTTTTTTTGGTGTGTGTGTGTGTGAGTGTGTGTGTGAGTGTGTGTGTGTGTGTGTGTGTGTGAGTGAAATAGTGTGTCTTCTTGTGCTTGATGCAAGGAAAAGGAAGAAGGTCAGTGAGTCATAAGAGGTGTCAGGGCTTCTGTCAGGTGGGGTAGATTGGCCCCTGAAAACTGAGCCCTCCCAGGTCAGTGTTCTGTTTTGCTCTGAATGCTTAGCAGAGTCTCTATTTTAGGATTGTCCTGTTTTCAGTTCTTGGCAATCTGTTTCATTAGGAATATTCACGATCATCGGTTAAGTACCTAAGAAGATCAACCACAGATTACTTTGAACATTCTCAAAGATCTCGTGATAAAATGGTAAGCAATGCATTATAACCATGGAGATTATTATCATCAGGGGCAATGAAAACTGAGTTATCTTACAGGCAGGCTTTCGGAGGTTTAGCGTCTCCCGATGACCTTCTGATACTTTGTGTTCCTTTTTGGGTTGTGAGTTTGCAGGCTTTAATGGCCCCRATGAGCCAGGAGCTAGAGGTGCCTCCAAAGGGTGCCATTTCATGAGGATTGTCCAGGAGGACAGAAAAATAGGCATCATGGTGGGTGTGCACAATCCAAATAAAGTCCAAAGCCCACGGGAATCAAAGAGGCTTGGAAGAAGAAGGAATCCAGTTTCCAGTGAAGCTGTTCACTGACCTCTAACCAGTAGCGCCCAAGAGCACACAAGCCACGCGGCTGTACTAAGATCTTGTGACCCGTGAAGGTGCTGTGTTGCTGAATACTTGAAGGTCCTTCTCAGCTCTCATCCCAGGATACTATTTTAAGAAAAGCCTAAACAGTCTTATTGCTTTTCTATGAAGGGCACATGGCAAGATGTCCAGGTACCACCCATGTGGATGCCAGGTCTCCACCTTGGTTGGAACTCRTGTTGATCTAAACCTTCACCTAAGGGTTCCTTTGGAGTTAAACATTGAAAATGTTGCTTTTCCTCTCATGCTTAGGGAGTGTGTCGTGGCTGCTATGCAGGGGCGAGGCACATAGTTAAGGTTACAGTGTGCTAAGATCTCCTAGAGCCAAGACTTACCAGCGATTAAAGCAATTAAGCTACAGAATGTCTCTCTCTCTCAGGGCATTCGCTCTGAGAGAAATGCAACCTTGAGGGAAATAGCTAGGAGGCAAGAGGTAAATATTTTCAAGTGGACAAGGTCTTAGAGATATCAGAGGCTTCAGCTCTGCCTTGCTCAGGAAGATTTTCAGTGGACCAGAGAGGGAATACGCCATCGGGGTGACCAGGTTTGGAGGATCAGTAAGAATTCAGTGCTGGGGTGTGTGGCCAGAACCATGACCCCTGGGATCACCCCATTCCCTATCCCCATCAGGGAGATCTGCAGGTACAGCAAAGGCTGAAAGTAGTCACATCCCCCAACCGTAGCCCGTGRCCTGGATTTCCACAGATGGCCATCATTTCATCGCTGCTTTCCCTCACCTATGTTGCCCTGCTTTTACAAGTTGCAAAGATGATTCCGTAATCAAAATCCAGTTGATAGTCTTCACAGAATCCCATCCTATTCTAATAGGATTTCTAGACAAATTTCCTTGAATGATGGCTGCCTCGTTGGTCTGGAGTCCTAGAGACAAATTGGGAATTCACCACATAGACAAAGGTACCCAGCRCTGGATAATTTAAGGGCAGTGCTACTGGGTTGTGCCGACGAATCACAGACTGTTATATTCACCTTCAACCATCCTCTAAGTTTGTATGTTTAAGCCTGATCCCAACGCAATTATATTTGAAAATAGGGTCTCCATGGAAGTGATTATAGCTGAATAAGGTCATAAGGGTGGGTTCCTGACCTAACAGCATGAGTGTCCTTATAAAAGACACCAGAGAATTCTCTCTCTCTCTCTCTCTCTCTCTCTCTTGCTCTCACTCTCTGTGTATCTCTGTCTGTCTCCCCAGGCACACATTGAAGAGGTTGCATGAGCATCTTGTGAAATGAAAACTGTGAATCAAAGAGGAGAATAAATAATGAACCCTACTTTGCCAGCACATAGATCTTGGACTTACCAACCTTCAAAACTGAGAACAATTTTCTGTTGTTTAAACCATCCCGTCTTATGGTATTTTGCTTCAACACCCCAAGCAGACGGATACACTACGTGGACCTTTCCCTTCAGTGGCTGCGGTGCTCATGATAATCATGACAACTCTCGTAAGAGATTGGCCATTTAGTGATGACTTGCTATGTGCCCGGCGTTGCTAGTAACTTCTCGTTTTTACTGGTTTCTTCTTTTATGGTGGGTGCTTTTCCTTCTGTGTGCTTGCTGTGTTGGTCTGGAATGAGCAGGGAGTCCTGTGTGTGCCTACCAGGACATGTGCTGGGCTCAGGTGGGCTGGTGTGACATCACTCTGTTGAAGCTAGGACAGGGAAATCTGGGTGGCAGCCTCAGTGTGGTATATTTTAATTCCCTTTGGATTCACATACATTTGGCAGATTTTATTTCTCTTTCATTCTAGCATTTCGGAGCATGTGAGAATCATTTGGGTAAAAGTTGATGCTCCAACTCTCTTGGGATCCTGCGTCTCACCATGGTGTCTTTGGAACAAGGCGTCCCAGTAGGAAGTTGTGTCCTGAGTCTCCCTGTCCATGGGAGCWGTGGGGCAGGATGAAGGACGTCCCACCGGCTGACCTTGCATGCTGTGACTCTCTTGTGTCTTAAACCATTTTCCTCAACTGAGTCTGGAGAACCCTAGAAGATTCTGTCTTCAGTAGCTGATGTCTTACCCACTAAGCACCTTGGCCCACCTGAATGGGGAGGTGAGGTACAATAGGGACAGGATTCTGCCACACAGGCCTTGGGACAGGTGCCCAGACAGGAAACAGGGCTTCCGGGATAGGATCAGAGATGAGGAAATGAGAGAAAGGGGCCATTCCAAACCACTTCTTTCAGCAGGATTTGGATCTGGATTTGGAGAGCACCTCATGGCACTTTCCATGTGACAGGCTCATGCACAGWCCTGAGTTCTCCTGCTGGGGTCCCTCACTTCCTCTCTCTTGATCTTCTCCTGTCACAGTTCATATCCGTGATTGGCCACACGGTGTAGACTGCGTATGTTGCCACTGGCCCGYGGGCAGAGGAAGGAGCTACAGCTTCCATTTTGGCCCTGGGAATTTCTTACCCTTAAAAGGTGCCAACTTGGCTTCGCCTGTTGCCAAGACAAAAGGTCAGGTCAGAGAAGCAGCACACGCTGACATTCTAAGTGCAAGGTCTCTTTTTTCAGTCCAGACAAGAAAGCAGGGTACACATGGTCCTCACTGCGTGGAGTGGACTCTCCACCCCAGGACCACAGATGGGCACATTTGGCATGTCCTTGTAGCTGGCCTTTTATGAGGATCACACTTTCCTGGCACCATGCTGTCGAAGCCACATCTCTACACAGAATGTAAACCCACGGCCCATGGGGATTCAGGTGGTTCCCCTGGGAGAAACAGCAGTGCCAGGAATTTCCCAGGTGTGGACTGAGCTTCAAAGCAGATGCAATTTGCAGGAGGGAGCCCTTCATCTTCAAGCAAAAGAGCTGCTAATTTCCCCTTTCTTTTCTGAACATAGTCTGAGTGACAGCATGATTATCTGGAAGAAACCAGGGTGGGCAGGTCAATGTTACCTCATTGAAGATGCTAGGTTTGATAGTTGGCTTCCCAACCTGGCATGGTCCTGACACTCCACTGGTTTCCGCTCCTGGGTCTAAGACTGATAATCTGTCTGCTGGATTTCATGAGCAATTGCATGGGGATTTTTTTTCTTATCTTGATTTGCACTTCCATGAACTTCAAATAGGATCTAGAAAGGAAGGAAAAGAAATGACAAAAAATTAATTCTTAGGGAGGCCAGAAAATTGTCAGCGGTAACCTTAGGAACCAAAGAGATATCTTTCCTCCATCTGTGCCACTCACCATCATTTTTCCTGGTCAGTCTATACCCCTGACTTCCTGCCCTGCCCCTCCCCCCTCCTTCCCTCTCAGACCGTGACTTCCTGCTATTGCTCCACATCCCTGTTTGTGGCCTTCACCCCCCATCACCCAGGAAGGAGTCCTTGCATTAAGGGCTCTTTGTTTGAACCATCTGGGGTGAATYCTGTGTCCTGCCAGAAGTCTGACCTGCAGTCTTTATTAAAAGTTGGGTGGATGTGTCTACTGCCTATTTTGCTAATTAAAATATTTAAGGTTATGTCCATATAGATGTGGTCAGTGTTTATGACATTCCTAGGAATGCTGGGAGACAGGATGGGAACGGGGGAATGTTTCCACCATACACCTGTATACCTTGAAATGAAGGACCTGACGGAACTCACCTCTGCCCTGATCTCCCCAGAGCTGCGCTCCTGCTGTGAGCACTGACCCTGTCTTGGCTTCCCTGGAAATGCCTCTCTCTCTCTCTCTCTCTCTCTCTCTCTCTCTCCCAGCTTCAGCAGCCCCATCAACCTAACTGGACCTAACTGCATCCTCTTAGTGCAGTTAGGTTATGGGTCAGCTAGAAGGCTCCATCTCCTGAAGTGCACGGATCTGCTTGGTGACACTGAGACCATCTCACTCTGTGCAGTTGGAGATGTGACTTACAATGAATATTCACTTGAGAGGGGCATCCTGTTTTCAAATGAGACTGAGAAAATGATGAATACAAGATGCCTTGACACTGGGAAACAGAGAAAACACAACAGACTTCTAGAAGGTTCAAATATAAGGAAGCAAATTAGGAGAAGAGAGATTCCAGCAATGGGGGTGTGGCTTTCACTCAAGACCTCGTCAGATGTGCTGGGTGCAGGGCGTGACCACGCAGGACACCTGGGTTGGGTACAGACRAAGGCTCTCCAGGCTTCTTTTAGTCATTTGATCCAAACAAGGGCTTCCACCTCAGTCCTTGCAGTATCCTTCCAGGGAGAACCCTGCTAAGTGGGGTCAATCAGAACCCTCTACCCTCACGTACCTGATCCCCCTCCATACCTGAGCTTGTTCCTGATCTCACCCCCACCCTGGGTGATGTCTGGTCACCCTGGCGGTTAGGTGCGGTTAGCTAAGATTCCCCCTCCCCCACCCCGTGTCTCCTCTTACTCATTTTCTAACTGTTGACCCCATTCCCACCYTGCTCCTCTGCTACACCTTCCGACTTCTCCTCCTTGCAGTCAGAGTGGAGCCCCGAATCTCTCTCCTACTGCCAGACCCCATCACAGAAGCACCGGGAGGAAAGACTGCCTTACTATTCTTTAACAAAGGGTAGAATACTTTTTTCTTCAATAGTTGTCCATGAGTCCAGAAGCCCCCATGGAGCATTAGAAAAACCAAAGTRCGAGGTATCTTTTATGGTCTGGACGTGAGGTATCTGCAAAACTCACRTGTRAGACAACGCAAGAGGGCTTAGAGGAGAAACCGTTGGGTTGCAAGAGTCTTAAGCCAATCAGCGAATGGGTCCCTGATGGGATTAACTGAGCGGTARCTGAAGGCAGGTAGGCTGTRGCTGGAGGAGCTGGTCATTGCAACGGGCCTTTGGGGTACATATTTTGCATCTAGTTAGTGGATTTACTCTCTTTCTCTCTGTTTGCTTCCTGGTCGTCATGTGAGCAGATTCCCTC